CCTCTGTGTCATTTTGACCTTTCTGGTTTTATCGTTACAGAGGCTACAGCCTGGAGGAACTGGAGAAGCACATCTCTCTGCTCCACGAGTATAATGACATTAAAGATGCTGGGCAGATGCTGCTGGGCAAACTGGGTGAGGAAGGGGAAAGCTGTTGAAGAACTTCTTAGTGTTTTCATATAGACAGAGAGAAGCTGCTGGTTTCTTTGCTATGGGAGGCTCTGTGGGACATTGAGGGGCTACTGGGAAGAGAACACAACTCTTCTGACTGATCTTTGCTTAATGAATGCAATGGTGTTTCTTTCTCTTCTAGCTGTTATCCGAGGGGTTACTACAAAGCAGCTCTACCCTGAGTATGATCTGGAGCTTAGTGACTAGTATTGAACATCAAGACTGCCACGTCCTGCAAAAATGACTGTTACTGGGCTCGTTCTGCTTTGGTGTTGTATTGGTTTAGAACTGATATAAGGTGGCCTTGGAAGTATGTGTGTAGGGCTGCAGCAGAGTGTGGGTTAACAGCCTTATTTCCAAGCAGCTTTGAATGTGAAAGTTGTTGAATCCATCAGCTGTGTCCTGCTTGTGGGAAAGGGATGTAGGACTTTGGATTACTTGTCTGCTACCTGATCAACAGTATTTCTTTATGGGGAAGGTTGTGATTCCAGTTGGTTGATGTTAAGATTCTTCCCATGGAGCCTTTGCTTCTTTACAGCATCCAGCAGCTATTTGGTTACTGAATGGATAGAGGAAGTGGGGGCATACACACAGGTGTGCAACGTAATAGTTGCTTTGAAAGGCAAGAAGCAGCCCTCAGAAGTAGGAAGGAGGCTGATGTGGTGGTTTGGGGGTTTGGTTTGTGATCAAATCTGGGTAACTCTGGGTGTGCTGCATTACTTACGTATCTGCTCTGGTATCTAGAGGTTCTGTATCTTTTCTGTAGCAAATGGCAAAATGTGAAGTTGTGTTGAACTGTCTGAATAAAGCAGCTATCACATTCCTCAGTAATTCACTGTAAAAGCCTATAAACCATTGCATGAACTGGGAACAAATCCTTCAACTGTATTCTGAGACATCTGTAACATCCATTATTCAAGTGTTTTCTGAGGCCTCTTAATGGAGCCAGTGTGGCAGCACTACCCAGCAGTGGGTGGGTGCAGAACTGCCTTTAGTCTCTTCTTGATGCAGAGTCACTGTGGAAGTGAGTGGTGTCCTAAGCACGGAATTTATGTGGAGCCAGGAGCATTTTGATGTCAGGCTTAGGATTGACGGTGACTGCACAGCCTAAATTTGGCTGCTTTGGGCAGTTCTAAGTGATGGAGCACCCTGCTGACTGCAGATCTGTTGTCCCTTTCTCACTCAAGCTTGATGTCCTTCTGCCCATTTCTGCTTAAAGACTTTCTTGCCAGTAAGTGTCCCCCCTGCTCTCATGCTGCAGTCTGCTCCTTGTTTCCACGTTTAAATCAAAGGAATCTGTCATCAGTTCTGTGCTTGGAAACCCGAAAACAGTCACAAGGCTGCCACTGAGAACAGATAATTGTCTCCGTGCTTTTCGTTCTGGACAAGGCACAGAAGCATCACTAACAAGTATCTTGTTTTGCCACAGAAGCTGTGGGGAGGGGTCTAAAGCATGGGATGGACAAAGCCTGTGTATCCTGGACTGTGTTTCAGCAAGTCCAGCTGTGCTTCTCTGGAGGGTTTTTACTGTAAGAACACTCTCATGGGTACGGGTATATCCTTCCCACCATAAACCCTCCCTTGCAAAGTGTTCTAGCAGTAGTTTTAAGGGGAGGAATAACGTCACAAGGCAGCCAGGACTGGGAAATGCTATCTTTGTTCTCAAAATGCTCACTGCTGTTCTGGCTGGTATTTTGTGTGTGGAAGAACCAGTTTAGCCTGGAGTGTTCCAACCCAAATATTAGCCTGGCAATGGCACACCCAACTGGAAATGGTTTTTTCGCAGTGGGATGTGTGTACAGCAATTCCTTCTGTTGGTGTTAGGTGTAAGCCATGGGGGATGAAGTGTACTCCATTACCAAAGTGATATTTAAGGACTGAGAAGTCCATGTTTTCTTCCTCTCCTTGCAGGAGCACAAGGATTAAGACTTGCAGCCACAGCTGTGCAGGTGCCTGGCTCCAGAGCTCACCCTTCTGCAGTGATGGGTTTATGCTTCACTGAGCACAAGGCAGTTGTCCACGGAAGGTGCCCTGACCCCAGTCCCTCACCCATGGGTGGTGAATGCTCACAGAACCATCCAGCTAAGAGCAAGCTGCCCTTGGGGAGTCCCAGGGTTCTGTGCCACATGGTGGCACCTACACTCCACTGCTGCTCCGTGCAGAGCAGGGAAACCTGGAGCTGAAACATTCAGGGTCTAAGTTAATGACTCATGGGGTGCTCCAGGACAGGATTGCACACACAGGTACTTCATCGTGACCCCTCTTACTGCTCCTCCCAGAGTCACCTCTGGTACCTCAGTGGCTATCATCTGGAGGATGGAATAATCCTGGTCTTTGTCCAAATCCAGCGGAGGAATAGAACAAATCATCTTCTGATTTCTATAAATAGAGGTCCATACTCACTAGCTAATTGTGAGCTGGAAGAATATTGAGTGTAGTGAGTGCAATATTAATTGTAACTTCAGTTTTAACTTAAATTTAGAAAGTATTTCTGCTAAGTCAGAGCCAGCTGTAATGAGCTAACAGAGAACAAGTGGTATTACAGAGCTTGTAGAGCTTCACTGAAGGGCAGTACATGCTGTCTGCATCGTCCTGCTGCAGAGCAGGATACCAGAGCCCTCTGAACACCCTTGGTTCCCCAGAGAGTGGGAGAAGCATGCTCTTTTTTAATGACTCAGTGTACTCATGGACGTGTAGAGCCAAGAACCAGCCTCTTCCCCTTTATCTTCCCGTTTAGGACACTTTCAGTTTTATTTCTTGTGTATCTATCTTACACATCAATCCCTATTAGAAGCCACTTTCCCCATCACTCATGCCTGCTCTGGATGTAACTATTTCCTTGCATTGCTTTGTGCAAGATGGGTTTCCTCCAGCACATCCCTCTTTTAGTCTGATTTTGAGCTCTTAAGTGTTTGAAAGTAGGGCTAATAGAAAGAAAATGCTTTAGGACAACAGAGGGAAAACAAACTCCATAGAGTGGGTAAGTTCTGCTGCTTGTTGCAAGGAACAAACAAATCTGTGTAAACAAGGGACTGCAGCTCTCCCAGATGCTATTTCCTGCTGCTAAACAATTTGGGGATGGGTTTTGATATCCATTAGCAACCTCCTGTTCCCGGAGTCACCAGGAATCTTGGCACAGCTCTCTCCTGTTAATGAACTGTTTGCAAGGCTTCAGAAAAATAATACAGCCTGTCACTGGAAAAATGCCTCCCTGCTTCAAGTCATCTCAAGGAAAAGGGTGGAAGTGAACTGCAATTAACCTCTTTCCTTCTGCTGTCCATCACCCTGTCAGCGTGTAGCTGCGTTACTGTGCTCCAGAGATTGCTTGTGGACGCTCCCTGCGCCGCGCACACTCAGCTGTCTGCAGCGTGGGCCATCTCCACGTCCTGATGAAGGTTACTGTCACCCTGATGGCCCAACGTTCTCTCTATCTCTGCCTGCACCTTAAGCTGACAGCTCCAGATTGCACTGCGTATACTCTGCAGGTTCCACTGGCTCCTCAGGAGAGCATCGTCCAGTGTGAAGACACCATCGCGTGTCCTGCGCACTTGGGTGCACACTGCAGACGACTTCAGCTCCAGGCCAATCTCATGAACTATCTTCCGCAGGTACTGCTGGGTCTCATGCAAGCAATGGATTTCTAGAGGAACAGAGAGATTCCTTCAGAAGCAGCAAAGTGTTGACAAACCCAGACCTCGTCTGTAAATGCAGACATCAAATCACAATCATGCTGACAGAACCGGTTTGGTAGAGTATTTAAGATACAGCATAGGGGGGTTGTGATTTTCTGGAATACTTCAGGGTGTTCTAACCCCTCGTGAAGTGAATGTTTTAGAAACAAACCCATAGATACAGGAGAGTAATGTAGAAATCGAAGTATTTCAAAGGGGATGAGAAAAGGTCCCTTTTTGATAAGACAGTTTGTGAGAAGCAGGAGACTGGCTGCAGGAACCAAACCAAGCCAACGCTAATGCATTACACTGAAACACTGGGATAAGGAAGAATTGTGTTTCATGAATGAGAAACTCAGGTTTTACTGACTTACTTGCTATAATATATACTCGGGCTTCCCTAGGATATTCTGTACCCACCTAGCTGGAATTCTGGAGGTGCAAACTGGAGGCATCGGACTGCTGTGATTATGGGAGGGCTTTTCCCCATGGGGCGGATCAAGCCTCTGACAGCCAGCTCGTAGGCCTCTTGTGTTTTCATATCAATGTTAGAATGCCTGGAACAAGAGAAAAAGGGAGCAGCATTGACACTCAGCACTTCTCTTCGATGGGATCCAGAAATACCTCCACCCTCAATAAAGCAGAGCTGCAATTTTTATTCTTAAAACTGTATGTTGAGGTTTTGCACACATTTTAACGGTGTCTGTGCTGTCACAGTGTAGCACAGTTTGAGAGGGAGGTACTGGCTCAAGTCTACAAGACATTTTTGTACCCATTGATGCAGCTAATGGGTCCTAAAATAGCTGGACATTCTGGAAACAATAGGGACACTTAACTGTGACCTCTCACCGGAGTACAGAGCACTCTGTACTCTTCTCTCAGTTCCTGTCTAGCACTCCAACCTTTAAAGGCTTTGATTAAGGCAAACAGGATCATCTCATTAGTTTTACAGACCAGCAAATGGCAGTTGGGTGAGGTCAGCTGCCTTTCCCCACTGGGTACCTACATCAGCAGGGCCTTATGATTTGATCCTTGAATGACGGCGAGAATCCGCTCCAGCTTCTCCCTTGTGATGTGATCTGCAAATATTAAGGTAGAAACGAATCTCAATTATCCATCCAGACACTGGAAAGAGACAGTGGATGGAACGTGCCACCAGGGTACTGCTGATCCTTTGGCAGGCAGTCACCTCAAACCAGGCTGATGAGAACTGCCAGAGGTGGCTTTAGCAGAGCGGTGGTGATGCACAGAGCAGCACAGTGCTTGACCACAAAGGGAGGAGTTATTTTCCTTAACTGATTTCAAGATGTTGGCTCCAGTTTTTCTTATCAGGTGTTTGAAAAGTTTCACTGGGCAGCTGCTAACCGCTACCTCTAAGTGTGATTTATGGAGAGATCTGGGTCCCACGCACTCCAGTAGCAACCATTGCCTTTGTATTGTGGTTGTATTTACAAACAGGTGGACTAACACCTTGGGACTGCACGTGGGCTGCATGTAAATATAATGGCTAGAAAGCAGCACACTCTTTGGTGGTTTGGTGGATTTTGGAGGTTTTAAAACCACATCAGTTTCTTACCAAATGTTGTCTTCTCCACCAGCTTCCCTGTGTCTGAGAAGTCATCGGTGGCTTTGCCAAACAGTCCACCAACAGTGTAGACCTTGAAGAAAGGCAAAGAGGGCAAGTTATCAAAGACATACCCCCAGGTTATGGAGCAGCCGCGCTGCTGCTGGAAGTGCAGGCTACAGCAGCGTCACACAAAGACGGCAGCATCCTCTGCTCACGTGCAGATGCTCACGTGAAGGATGATGTTCTGGACTCTGAAAAGCTCTCAAAAGCAGTGGTGGGCTTGAGACCTGAAGCAGAATCACTGTCCCACGGCCAGTTGGGTCAGGAATCAAGTGTGTGATTGTACTCAGATATTCTGAGGCTGTTGAGAGCAAACACTTACCTTGCTCAGGTGGCAGTTGTACAGGTCAGTGAGCAGCTTGTTCCCATGACTTATGGCAAGAACTGGAACACAGAAGACAGGGAACCCATTACTGATGAGCACTTACACGTGCTGCACACTCACACTGTTCTTCCCCCCTCTGACAGGGCCACGTCTCCTCAGAAGTCATGTCTGAGCTGTGCAATCAGACCCCCAAATTACTGCTTGTCATTGAAGCTATAAGGCTGTAACCAAGGCTCTTGGATTGCCCCAGAACTTTCCACCTTCAGGGCAAACACTCAGTGGTGCCATTTCAGGTGGGGTTTCGTGGCAGATCATCACTGGTGCCACCAGCAGGAGCTTGGTGTCCCCCAGCAGAGCCCCTTGTGCTGGGGAGAGGGGTCGCTCCCATCTCCCGCCACCGCCAGGGTCGTCTTGGATCATTTCTTCCGTGTTTTACCGCTTGAGCTCCCCGCGGGTTGCGGCCGGGGC